GATTAGCTGAAGATTGCAGGAGTTTCAACAAGGTCCCAGGTCAAGGATCGCTGGGGGCCTAACGCTAAGTGGCTGAGAACAGTTTGGAGAAAATCTGCTGAGGATCTGGCCTGGAGGCTCACGGTGCAGGGACTGCCTGGTACTTGAAGGAGGCATCCATGTACACAGGGACACAGTGAGACCTGAGAGAGAGAGATCCAAGGGGGACTGTTGATGCTTAACCCTTTGAGAGACTGTTCCAGAGTTGCTGGCTTAGGGCTGCTTCCAAGTGGGAGTCCCCTGAGCTCTATGTCCACTACCTCCCATTACAAGAGATCCATCTCGAAGAGCTTCGCCATTACCAGTGAGTGTCCTCTGTTTGCACTAAATTTGGAGTATTCTAAGGCTCAACCTAAACCCCAACCATGTTTAACATTCAACTTCAATAAGACACTTGCAGCCTGGTTATTGCGTTCAGAGACTGGGGGAACTACTGTGTGCCTGGCTGCCGTGCACCACTATGGAACAGAACCTTGGACAAAACAGCAGGACCAGCTTGGGGTTTGCACTACACCTGTGTAAACAGCTACTACTTGGGTAGAGTTGAGAACGTGTTTAGCAGTGCAGACCTGGACAGCTCTCTCGGAGGTGGCTGTGGAATAGTGCATGTCCTGGTCAAGCACTTGGTGATGATGTCCTAGGGGTCTCAGGTGGAATAAACAAAGATAACTATTGCAGCATTGAATACCCAGTGCAGGCATACGTGTGTCCTATAAAATCCCTTATGAATGTGTACACTGAGTCAGTTATCTGTAAAATTTTTTTTTGGTTTCCAACCCCTAAACTCCATCTGATCTGATTGTTTTTGAAAGTAATCTATGCCCTCTAGTTGCAACTACAACCTCTCCACTGCACAGTCTTCACTTTAAAACCAGAAACGTGTCTTAAGGCATAGTGTATAAAGGTGCAGCACTACTTTTGATTCAAGACAAGTTATGAGATCATGGTAACTGTTGAGGATTCTGCCTTATCTATTGCATTCTGGGATAAATGATATAAGATCCTGTTTAGATGGGCATCAAAACAGAGGTACTTGTCAGGCAGTTCTGACCCCCTGCCAAGAGCCCCACAAATGCCAGTAGGAGAATGTTCTAATTGCATACCAATTGCTGCATCTAACACTGGTCTGATCATCACTTTAGGCTTAAAGAGACACGGTTACATTAAGTATATTGAATGCTGCTAGCTGGGATGAAATGCACGCATACAGAGGTACCTGTAGACAGGGCCGGTGCTTCCACTAGGCAAACTAGGCAGCCACTATATATAGCGGCATTCCATGTAGCACTTAAATGTCGGCTCCCCCTAGGATGGGAAGTGAGTATATTAGCCCAGGACCCTGGGTGGACAGCAGTCTCTGATAGGAGGATCGGTTCGTACATCTCCGGTACAAACACTGACACACATGGTCCTCCAGCTGTAACAGGGAGTCGGCTAGTGACTGAATGGGGTGTGTCCAGCACTGGCCCCGCCTTCTTCTACACGGCTGGAGCCAATCAATAGGCACGGGTGTGCTCTGGTTGCAGGCTGAACCCTATTGTGAGTAGGATGATTGGGGCCCGATGTGTATGAGAGAAGCAGTGTAGTGCTGGGAGGCCGCCTGTCCTCACTGAGAGCCACAGCCTGGACTCCGCACCCCAGCAGCAGCCATAGGAGGATGGTGGGTCATGGAGGTGATGGGAGGAGGAGGGGGGCGAACAACGGTCAGGGTGAAGGGTGAAGATGCTGATTGATCGTGTGTGACGCTGCCACATCATGAATGATCCTTCAGATGAGGGGAGGGGCAGCAGAGGGGGAGGACGATGCCAGGTGTCTGGGACCAGTGTAGCAGCTGAGCTGCCACTCCTAGTGTTCCTCTCAGACTCAGTCCATTACTCTAAGTCGGCTGGCAGCTACTGTTCACTGTGGAGTTTTGTAACTTTTTTTTGTTTCTCTGTCTGATTGGTTAATACAGTTAAATTATATTTGATTAATATATATTTCTCTTTAAATATTGGTGCTGGTGGCATCTTATGGCACTTATTTTTGCAAATTAAAAGAAATGTAGCAGTTTCATGTGTTGTTTGTTGATTTCATATTTTCTACAGTTTTTAAACATTTTTATTTTTTTTATTTTTTTTGGGGGGGTGGGGCACAAGCTGCTGGTCTTGCCTAGGGCGTAAAATAGTCTAGCACGGCCTGGTCTGTAGGTAAGTGCAGCAGATTTCAGTATCAGTAATACTGAGCAGTTCTAATAGGACAATGTTTTCACTCATTTTGATTCTGATAAGACAATGCTTTCACTCATTCTGGTTCTGATAAGACAATGCTTTCACTCATTTTGAGAGTGTCACAGCATGCCACTAAGCCCTTCAATGGTCTGACTCACTGTCCAATAACAGTTTGTGGAAGTATGTAGGTGAGAGCCATGTTTCAGCACTATAGGTGTAAGTCCTGAAGCTTGCTTCAATCAGATCACCCTGGCATTTCAGAGAAGCAGGAGATACTGAAAGATACTGAAGGTAAATGCAGGCACCTCTTTGTTGCAGCCCTTCATACCCAACAGCTTTCAATAGTCTTAAAACCACAGTTTCTAGAAGTTTGCATTAGTCTCCTCCGTTAAAGGTGCAATACCTTGTCCCTTGTGGTTGACCTCCTTGGCTGCAATCACCTTGTTGTAGATGGTGGGGAGAGGCTCATTCTCAGCCAATACCCGTGAAGAGCTCAGAGGAGACATGATAAGTTGCCGCTGGCTGATGTAAGTTTCTTTGGCCACCCTGAGGAGGAAATAATGTTCAGAGATAAGTGTCCTGGTAAATTACTCAGAAATGTTGTCTGCTATGAAACAAAATGGCAACTTACGGATGAAAAGGTATAAAATGTTGTTTCTCCTCATCATCCACCTTCCCATGTATAACATCAGATATATCCATCACTGTAAAAGATAAATAATTACTTGCCACAGAAAAGCAAATAACATTTTTCAGTACCTGTACTTTTATGACCAACAGGTACTTGTATTATCAATCTCTCCTCCCCCACAGATACTTTTTATCCATCTTTGGTTAACAGGGCTTTTGGAACATGGGGAGGAACACAGTTCTGCCACCTCCAGCACTGAATGTATGTAATGGTAAGAGGTGCTGGGGTGTTCTGGAGTTTCCCCAGCAGTTCTGCCTGCTGGGGAAACTATTGTTGCTGCAGGGGAACTATTTTTTTTATGTGGGTCTATTGTTGCTAGTGGGAAATCTATTGTTGCTGGGGAGGGTTCTTATGTTGCTGCAGGGGTCAATTGTTGCTGGGAGGGATCCAGTGGTGAGGGAGAGCTCTATTGATGCTGGATTCTGAAAGATCTGTTGTTGCTGGGGTGGATCAACTGTTGGTGGGGTGGTATTTTGTTGTGGGGGTCCATTGTTGTGGGGGGCATCTATTGTTGCGGGGGTCTGTTGTTGCTGGACTCATTCAAAAAACTTCATACAGTTTACTTAGCATCAAAAAGGATACTTGGTTCTGTATTCTCTAAAAGGGTTGGAACTGGGAGGTGGGTAGTGGGTGGAACCAAGGGACAGTGCTCGGAGATGGGGGAGTGGGGGTGACAAGTGGTGGCTCAGGAGGAGTTCCCACACCTATTCTCTGAGAAAAAAAAGCCATGGTGGTCAGTAAGTACCTTTTACAAAGATTGTTTACATTATAAAATTTGACAGGTGGAATAAATGTAAATTCATTTTATGAGGGAAAAGAAAATTTTAGCATCCTTGTTCTAAACAGGGACTACAATCTAAATTTAGTTTTGGATGGGTGGTAGTTAGCCCACATTGATTGTGTAGTTATTTTACTTGGTCTTTCCCTAAGTTTAAGTTTGGTTATGGTTTCTTACTGCTAACAGTAAGTATAACTGGTACCACTGACAACAGAATGAGAATTCACTAACATACCGGAGTTATGAATATTTATATTTCCTTCAGCCAACCCAATAGGAAGTGCAGTCACAGGTGCATGCTGGGGGAGGATATAAATGTTTGGGGCATCCCATGTGCTGTCTCTTCCCCCAGGCTGAGGCATTGGGAGGTGATGCTGGATGAAGCACTGGTTCGGCCCAAAGCTTGTGTGGGACCTGACATGATGATTGTGGTCCTGAAGTTATCCTGCCTGGTAATGGAGGAAGCTATGGACTTGACCTGGAAGTGGTCCTGAAACTGTCCTGCCTGGTGATGGATGAAGCTGTACCAAAGAGAAGACCCAGGGGCAGACCCTTGCTGAAGAAAGCTAGGTGGAAGGCTGATTTCTCAAAGGGGCCTGGTGACTCACTTGAAGACCACACAGACTTTAGGAAATGTGCTTACAGTGCCACTGGGTCGGGTTAATGGTTCTGGCACTATGAAGCGGGATCTGGAACTGGAGAGTCTGTAAGTCATCAGCTGTGGTATCTAGAACCCCTATCACTCACCTTATTGACTGTTCTGCAATAAATCTTTAAAAAGGCAAAAGTTACTGGTGCTCAATGTTATTCTCAGTCCCCATTTTAGCCATTGACTCAGCCCTGGGGTGAAATGCTGACCCGTTCCTGCCTCTGGAGGTGCACAATGCCACCGAAGTGTCAGTGGGGTGCTAAACAATCATTGTGAAATGTCCCACCAAAAAAATACTTTATTCAACTTCCCTCTAGCTTGTGCTAGGCAAATTAGCTACCACTGAGCAAAGCAGACCCGTGGTATTGTGCAACAAAGTCTATACAGATCACATCCTTCACACAGAACCTATACTATAATATCACTGGCTCATAAGAAAAGTGTGTTCATAATATCAACAGAAATCAAGTAGATTGGAAATCTGAAAAGCTTGCTGAAATCTTTGCTATGCCATAATTGAACTAGGCAGGTTGAAGTTAAGGTAAACATATTACAAAATGCATCAGTGCTGTTACCTGCAACACCAAAAGGCCTTCGGAGGCCAAACGTGTGTTTTTTCCCATCTTTGAGCTCCATGTGTCCCACACGAACTATCTGGCACACCAGGCTGATCCGGGGACGAATCAGATCCAGGCTACTGAGGTCCTGAAGAGGAGAGAGGTCAAAACTAGAATGAAGAAACAAAATAGAGGTGGTTCAAGATCAGCAAGGAGAGTGGCAGAAAAGTAAAGAATGAAAAGACAGAGAATATGATGGTAAATAATGTTAAAGGAGAGCACTAAGGAAGACTAAGAAGGATCCCAAGAATTAGAAACAAAAAAAAAAAAAAATTGCATCTTGATGGCTATCATAGTATGGTGAGAAAATGTAGGACAGCAGCAAGAGTGTCACTGATGGATGAAAGACTTTGGGACAAAGAAAAAAGATAAATAGATGCAAAATGGAATGAGGTAGTGAAAGAATGAAAAGGAAAGTTAGATTAATGACTAGAAACAATGGAAGGCACAGAGAACACCACCCAAGGAAGGTTTGGGGTTGGAAGTGGCGGGTGAGAAGACAATAGGATGATGTGGTGCAGAAAATCTAAGAACTTGTATTGAATAGAAGATATAGAAGAAACTCTACTACTGAAAAAGAACTGGTGGATAAATGAAAGCAGAGCTGAAGAAGAAGTTGAATGAGTTTAAAGCAGATGTAAACCTAATCATTAAAATCTCTTATAAAATTTAACAGGTTTATTTCATTAAAAAAAAAGGGCATTTTGAATATATTTTTTGACAAATCTGCACCTTTCAACAAAAGAATACTAAGTGATCCTGCCATAAAAACACCTTGTACAGGAACTTCCTGGTATAGAGTGACAACACCATGTGCCTATCTTCCAGCCGTGGTCCTTGTGTTGTCACTTTGTCACATAGGATTTCAATAGAGACTACAAGTGGACTTACAGCATACATTACACAGGCATGGTCCACTCTTGCCACCATCAAAAAACCCTGTCCTGAGAAATCTCAAGAGTGTGCATAGACATACAGTGGATGCAAAGAGGGTTCAGGAGGTCAGCACCACTGGAATGCAACAAAAGTTGAAAAAAAAAGTTTAATCAAGCATTTTATGTGAATAGCAAATGTTTATGGTACACAGTACTTTTGCAAAAATGTATTTCAGTCATGGTTTGTATCTACTTTAAACAGGTGAAGAACCTCAGGAACGTTGATTGAGAGGAGGAAGAAACATTCAGGGCTGGGAAAGAGTATAAAAAAGGAATAGCCAGGACCAAGGAGACCAAATTCAAAGGCACAATATTAAAATTGACGTTTCTCAAAATTGGATTTCTACAGCTGGTATCATGATGGCCACACATGGGTTGTTTGGTTGTTTTTTTTTTTTAATTCAGCAGACAATTTCCAAAAATGATTAGCAATGAGTTGCAATGTAAGTGTTCTTATACCCCATAAAAATCTCTTAGATTCAGGTATATTCTGGAAAATACTACTTTAACCGTTTGTTATATGTCTAAGGCATTCTGGTAGTAAAAATCTCTGCATTGCCATTTCCAGAGCCATTTACATGAGGCAGCCATAATAAAGAATTTCCAAAGGGGCATAGCGATACAAGTCCACTATCTAGACCAGGGAGTCCCACTATTGTGACCTCTTACAGAGCCCTCTACAGTAAATAATACAACTTATAATTAGGCAGAATGTACTGTGTGTAAAAGGGGATCTTTCACATCCTGTACACTGGCCATTAGCAGTGCTACACATCTTTATTGGACCCAACAGCAAAGATTATCATTTTACATACAAGTGCAGTTACTGCAAGCAATGTATGAATTCTTAAGTTGATCAAGCCAAGGGTCTTTAAAGAAATAAGCGCCAATTAAGAAAATTCCACAGGGCCCAGTGCTGGCCTTTCCTTCTTCCATGGTAATCAGCAAGGCCCCAAAGTACTAGGACAAGAGCCAAGTGAGGATACAGTAAAGTTAAAATGTAACACTTAGAATACCAGACCAGCCTTGGACATCATCTGATTTTAATGGCTTTCCAAAGCACACTGTGTATTCACCCAGTCTACATCTATAAGACAGGCCAGCTCCCTGGCCTGTGGCAGCCCATAGCAGTCATTCAAACTAGTGTCCCTCCATAGGTTGCTAGGGGTTCTTTGAGACCATGCAAGGACCATCAGATAAGAGCCAGCCACAGTTAAAGACCAATGTCATTTGGCAAAGCCAGCAGCATGACACAAATGATCTTTTAGTTGTCTGTAAGAATGACATTCTGACCAATCACTGTAAGAGTGGCATTCTTCCTACCAGAAGCCATTGCAAGGGGTTTTTGTGCCATTGACCTCTGATAAATTGGTTTTAGTAAGCATTCAGTGGAGGTGGACATCAATGGCACCCCAAGAAGAAGCTTGGCTAGACTGCAGGAATAGCAAAAGATAAAAGGGAGGATAATGCCTATGTAGTTTATGTCAACTACTCTCTACACCTCAAGCCATGTATGGCCAGCATAAGATTGGAATAGAAATAAGAAGTATAAGAGAAGTCAAATGATACAACAAATGAGATCATGTTGGGTTACTACAGCAATGAGAGGATCAAGTTGGCCAAGGAGGACACCACTCACTGTGAACACTGCCTGCAGGTTGTTTAACTTCTCTATTTCTTTGGGCATACCGGAACTACTCCAGCGGACAAAGTAGTTTTCACTGCAGATAAAGAAATTATACAGAGTTTTCAGGAATCTCTACTACATGCAAATACAAAGCTAGAAATAACAGTCCCTTAAAAACATATATCTAACTAGAAATTAGGACAAATCAAAAAAACTCATACTAAAAGATACATTACCTATACAAACAGTATGAATATGTAAACCTGTGGGCTCTGAACATCTAAGCAAGAAGCTTACCATATGCAAATACCCACTGAAGTTTAGGGTTCAGGTCTGCATCCCACAATGCAATGTGTTGGGAACATCAAAGGCTTCCTGGTACATTTGTAAAGTAGGGGACAGACCCAAGGGATTACTGTGCACTTCCAGCACTAGTCTTACCTGATGAAATGGGAGGTGTCTGGGTCATACAGACACATGAGGAGCTCTGCATCCTCTGCCATGTTACACACAAAGTTCTTCAAGTTCACATATAAGGTGTATGTATGAGCCATATGCAGCATGGCTGGACTGCGGATATCAAGAGGCTGCAGCTGAGACTGAGAAAGAATAGGAACAACTGGTTAAGTAACAAAGACCTTTAAAAATGGCCTTTAGAATATGATGCTTAAAACTCCACCTTTTCCTCCTGGATCCTCTCATCAATCCGCCTTGATGCTATCTCATGCGAGCGGAACAGGGTAATTACACTGGTGTCATCAGGATCTAGAATGATTCCATTTTCATCTCTAACAACAAGGTCCAAGCCCAGTATTCTGCCAGGTGAGCATCAAAATGTTAACAATACAAATAAAAATAGTCTTCAAATGTAAAACTGGAGTTCAACCAAACCAAAACATCTATATCTAGATGAGCATGCTTGAAATCAATCTCCTGAAAGGAATTTTATCTTAGTCTGAATAGTGGGCACCACATATATTACTATACAGATCCCCCTAAGGCCATGTTTCTCAATAAAGGGTCACGACCCAAAAGTAGGTTGCGACCAGGGGAGGAGTGAGCCACAGGGAAAGTGCACCCCATGCCTCTATAATGCCCCAATAAAACATCTGGTGCCCTGAAAACATAGCGTAATAAAAACCACCGGCGCTGTTAAAATAAACGTTAAGACGGCTGGGACCACAACTACGGCCGGCCTTAATATTTGTATTATTGCAGCCAGCTGGTCGTGGGTTTAAGGTAGTGTGCTCCATGCACTTACAAAGCGGTCTGACGGTCCTCACGCTCATTCCTCTGCGGCAGCGCTAGGAGGAAATGACATATAACCATGCTTCCTTCCAGCCAGGCAGCTGCACAGGAGGGTAGAAAACCACCACTGGACGCCAGGGAATTACTCCACTAGGTACTTTTCCTGGGTTGTGGCAGAATGATGGAGAGTGCATTTTGATAGGAATGAAAGAAAACAGGAAAGCGATGGTGATGGGGAGTGAGACTGAAACTGCATGAAAGGGGAAGACTGAAGGAAACCATGAAACGGGAGGGCATGAATAGGGGGTCAAGGTGAGTATTAAAGGAGGATGTGAAAGAGCATACAAGGGGAAAGGAAGAGGGTATGAAAGGGTGAGCTAAAGCAGGACATGGAAGGGGGGATTGAATGAAATGGGGGTGGGGGTGGGGGGTGGAGGATTGAAAACCCTCACACAAATATTGCACAAACTATATTTTTTATTTAAAAAGCCACTGAAGACATTAATACTCTTAACTTAGTGTACCTTTGAGAGGGTGAGAAGTAGAGGAGGCATTGCTCAGCTTAATGGATTAGTTTGAGGTGGAGGGGACATTGCTTAAAGGGGGAATTAGTGGATTTTTGTTATTTTACGTATGCTTAAAATAATTATTTTAAAAGTCTAAAAAAGTGCTTTCTTATGTAATTTTCTTGCCATGTTTGTTTAAAACGGGAAGGGGGGGGGGTAGAGTTGGGGCCTATGTGTGGTACTCGCCCCCCAGGTAAAAATTTGCCAGTCAGCCCTGTTATAAACCCCTCACGACAGTGATGTGCAAAAAGTACGCTGCTAAGTGTCTGTGACTACATGTGCTCATTATATGCCACCTGTCTAACCTGGTGAACACTCTTAGCTTTTTGTTTAAAATTACATAATTTAGCAAAAAAGAAAAAAAAAAAAAGTAAATGCATCAATCATTTTCACTAGCACTGGGATTACTACACTATCCATACAGGAAGGAAGCCATTTGTTTACGGTTTAAAAAGTGCATATACATTGTAGAATACTACACAAGTTGTTTTGTGGAATAAATGATAAGGTTTCAGAAATTAAACAATTTTTGGGTCGCGAGTTAACGTCCAAGGACAAATATGGGTCCTGAGGTTCCACAGGTTGAGAACCACTGCCCAAGAGGACAGTAAACCAGATACTGACAAATGTTGGCAGCGTTATCTTCCCGTAAGCATATATTTTGTCTTACTCCACTCTAAACTAAAGACCAAAAAAATTCAAATGCCTGCAATTTTACTAAAGCTTCAATTTACAATGGATCTTCCACCCTGCCTTCTCACCGATTCCCATGGTCGATTTTAGCAGTCACTTTTTTCCTCAGTTCAGCCAAGTCATCCTTGGGTAGAGTGCCAGACATAATCTGTGATCTCCAGTCCATCAGTTGTGACATCATTTCTTGTATTTGTGTGAACTGCGTTCTCTGGTTGTACTAATAAATGATAATACATAATGACAGTGAGACCAATCAGGCTAAAAAATGAAAGCTTACTGGTAGAATTAATCTTACCACATATAGCGAGTGCCACAAGACCCCCCATTCCCGCAGAGTGACTGTAAGTTCTTGAACCAGAGGAAGTTCACTGGGACCTGTTGGCTCATGATACCTGGAATAGAGAGGGTAAATTATCACAGTGTGGGACATACTATTAACTATTATTTTAGTGCCAGGGCTTTCCAGTCCAATTTCCGATCACCACTTAGTAAGAAATAAATGTATGGGATCGATTTGTAGGAATAACTGGAACTATACTTATAAATTAAATGGGTAAATGAAATTGTAATATAACAAGGAAACCCCATTCTAAAAAAAACCTAGCAGTTCTTAAAAATAAATATGATCAATAGTCTTGACAAATGCAGGCTGTGTCCCACCAAAACCTTGACATTGATGAAACTACATTGGAAAATTCCTGTTTTTAGTCCCGTTGAGATGCGCCTACTGCCTGCTTCATATACTATGGACTTTTGTCACCAATTGCACCCAGAACAATATCCCTACAAGCATGTCATGGCCCAACTTGATAATATATGATACAATAGTATCATAGAGCACATTATACTAAACAGTAATTAATAATCTTATTGGTAATGCAACAATGTTATCCAATGTGAAGTCAACTGTCTAGAGAGAGATGGTTATTGAAGCATTATTATGGTTCAACACAAATCAGGGTGCTAGTATGTCTAGCAGCTGTAGAATGTAGCAAACTTACTGCCAATGTAAACTGTGCTGCTACAGAGGGGGATCTTAAATGAAGAAAAAAAAAAAAAAAGACCAATTAAGAAAATCCCCTGAGGGACTAGTGCTGGCCTATCCTTCACCAGAAATCAGCAAGGTGCCAGTGTAGTGATGAGAACTTTAGTTAAGATATTGAAAAGTTAACACCTGTAATGTTACATCCAGATTAGCCTTCAAAAATCATCTGAATTTAAAGGTTTTCTATGGAACACTAAGTTCGCCCCTGTCTATATCTAGGCTAGCTCCCCTGGCTTGTGGTGACCCATGGTAATGCTTCAAAAATAATCTCTCACTAAGTCAAATGATTTTGGCTTTACATCTTTGTATTAGCTGTGAGACTAATAATCCCTTAAAGTGACTAGTAAAGTATAGTGAATCAACTGGTTCCAGGGGAATTACTGGACAGCATGGGACTGGATTTATACATCAGACAGTGGTAGGACATGACTGGAAGGTTAGGAAAGTTCAACAGCAACATCTACAGTGGGAAGATCATTCCATGTAGATGGGACATTGGTGGCACCCTGAAAAGAAGGCTGGCTAAACTGCAAGAATACATACAGGGCCAAAGGTAAAGGGAGGATGATGCCCTGCACAGTGTAGTCCATGTCAACCAATCTCTGTAAAGAGCAATCATGCCTACTGGTTACTAGTCAAAGACAAAGAGCCAGATAAACAATATATGGTGCAATTCCCTCCAGGACCTCGATTTATTGGGTGTACATTGCACAGTGACAGTGCACACCCGATGCCCTGTCATTTTTCAGGGTGCAATACAGAGAGTTGTAGCAGCTCATTATATTGCTACTTCTCCTCTCTCCTTCTCAATCAGGAAGAATCACCAGGCGGAGAGGAAAACACAGGCAGCAGACCAATACAGAGATACCCACTGTCTGCTCCCTTTGGTGAATGTCTGTCCTAGGAAACCTGTAGACTGCCTCTTCCCTTCTGCTCACCTAGGCATTGGGAGGAGGTAGCTTTTCCTGACTCAATCTCCCTCTGGCAAATGTCTGTACAGAAACTTATCAGTGCAAGTCTGCAACTGATCTGTGATTAATATATAGTTCATATGCAACGTTAATATTCCTGTAACAAATTGCAATTTGTAATTTTCTAGATTACGGCCCAAATTGCAAATCCACTACAACATAGGTGCACTTTGATGTATATTTGGTGTATGTCAAGTGCTCATCACCTGTGCACTAAAAAAAATTTTGAAACACAATAGTTTATCGGCCCCAATGTCTAAAACTGAGTGCGGGGCAAAGTGAAGTCTCACAAGTAAAGTCCACCAGACAGCATCATACTTTTTGTTATTTGCTACATTGCAAATTGAGGTTGCATGCTGGACCCTTGGAAGGGTACCTCTAATTCATTTATGTTATAAATATTCTCCCCTTCCCTTTATATTTTTTTAATTATTTGTAAGAAAAAAAAAAAAAAAAGGAAGTTGCTCCTGGAGGACATCTCTCTACCAAGTGCTGTAATTACAGTTTTGAAAGGGTACCAACGCAATGCTCAGCATGTGACTATGGGTCCTTCCTGGCATATGTCAAAATGGGGATGCATCTCCATTTAGTGCCACCCAATATATCCCATTAGTACTGGCCAAAGAGGCAAATGCACCCCACCCTGTACAGCACTCACTGCAGTCATTAGGTACAAAGCTGGCCATAAATGGATCAAATCTCGACCATTTCAGCAGGGACTGGCTGAGATTCGATCCACTTATGGGCAGGCTGGTTGTACTGAAGTTGATCCATCATTCGACTTTGGTACAACCAGCCTGTCAGATTTTTAGCTTGTGATTATTGCCTGCAACTATAGTCACCAGCAGCGATCACTGTGTTCTACCGGCAGGAAAGGCTCCCCACAGGCAGAACACAATAGAGCTGTGGGAGGGATTCCCCCATCAACACTGTGTTGATAGGGGAATATTGAGCATTTTTCTGTCCTTCCACCTGTGCATAACGTATGGGTTACTCAAGTCTTTACTCTCTATTCTACTTTATGAGAATTTTAATCCTATTTTTTTTGGTTTATTATTTTTTTTTTTTATACCATGGTTTCCTCAGTAATCAACACATTATAGTAATGCATGACAGAAATTAAAATGAACTTTCACCCATGACTTGCAATGTATTTTTGCATGCGCTAGTGAAACATTTTTGTTGGCAAAAGCTAACACTACACAACTTCCACTTAGCATCAACCAGCCATTTATCACTGTCACGTAATGTTTCAGAGTTTATATACAGAGTATTAAATTAAGTGTAATAAAACCTAGGTCCTGTTCCACATTGATTTCATTATTTTAGCTGCTAATAAAGTGATTCCTTAACTGCTGCTCTCTGCCAAAGGCATACAGAAGACGTGGAACTCTTCCATGCTCACCCTTTGTCATCTGTCACTTCTTTCTGATGAATATATGCAGCTGGAAATATCCCCTGTAAAAGAGAAAAAATATTAAATACGTAGTAGGAAAGAAAATACAGGAGTGTTCAAAGCAACCAGTGGGGTAGTGGTAATAGCTGCACATTCAGAGTAAAAATGCTAGGTACACAGAGAATAGATTTGCTTAGTATATGTTTTTTAAAGCAACAAGTTCTTCAGTAACACCATTCCTAAAGTGAATATTGGAAGTCACTAATGAATTTAAATCAGAATGGAAATGGACTTGAATTATGATGACAGCTGAACTCCAGGATAAGCATACAGTATATTGTCCAAATACAAGAGCCATGTATATTCTCACTTGAATCTTGGTGAGCTTTGTCTATTTCCTTTAGATCTGTGCAGTTATCCAGTGTGAATTTTTTCCGCTGTGCAGGAGCTTCCTTTAATAAAGACCGATCACTACTGCTCTCTCTCCTTGTGGAGGGTGACTGGTCTTGTCTCCTCCCACCCTGTAGTTCTCTTCAGACAACCTGTAGTGGGTAAGACCTGCTGGGTCCGTCCCACAGCTCAGCTCTCTGCTCAGGCTATGTAGAGCATAGTGATAATGTCTCTACTACTTTTGCAAGGTAATATTTGGGTTGGCAAAAGCATCTGGTGCACATAACACAGAATTATATCCATTCTGGCTATTGAAGAATATATTTCAATAAATGTTTTTGTGTCTGGAGATCAGCTATAAAGAATATTTAAACCCAACATTTTATATTTCTAATATGTGCCTGCTGTACCATGTATTTGTATGAAAAAGTATCCTGTTCTCTTTGTATTGCTTCCTGTGTGTGAAATCTGAGCTGTTCCTGCCAGTCCCTCTGCTTTCCTATTAAAAACTGACTACATTAGGCATGAGAGCACAGCGTGGTCAATTCTCTAGCTGTGCTGGGAACTCAGTGTGCTCTCCTCCAATGATCAGACGTCTTCTCACACGCTGCACAGCCTTTCACTTGGAAGTTCAGTATGCTGCTGTTTCTCCTTCCCCCAGCTCTGTGTTTTCAGATACATAAGGAGCTTATAATGTATGTGATCACTTAAAGCGAAGCTCCACCCAAAAGGGGAAGTTCCGCTTTAAGGACTGCTCCCCCACTCCCCATTAAAGATTGGCACCTTTGGGGGGCGGGAACCCGAATTTGACAGGTACCCGTTCCCACTTCTGGTCCGATCGCCTAGGCGATTGGAAGGTGTCCTCCCTGTAGTCTTTTGGGACACGTGACAGGTTCCAGAAGACTATAGGACCATTCATGAAGCGCAGCGCTACTCGCGCATGCACAGTGGGCACCCAGCTGTGAAGCCACAAGCTATCACAGCTGGGTGCTCACACTGAAGATGCCAGCCTCCTGGAATACAGGACGGACAGCTGATGAAATGGACTGCAGGACACACACCACCACTGGACAGGTAAGTGACTGTTTTTTTAAAAGTCAGCAGCTACAGTTTTTGTAGCTGCTGACTTTTATTTTTTGACAGAGTGAGCGGAACTCTGCTTTAAAACAGGGAAAAAAATGTATAATGTTTTTTTAGATCAATACACAAATGTTTCTCCTTTAATTTATATTTTAAAGAGAATGGGTTGTTTTACAAGGTGAGGGTTTACATATGCACTTTATTGCCAAAAGTATTGGGATGCCTGCCCCTAAACTTTAATGGCATCCCAGTCTTAGTCCGTAGGGTTCAATATTGAGTTGGCCCACCCTTTGCAGCTATAACAGTGTCAACTCTTCTGGGAAGGCTGTCCACAAGGTTTAGGAGGGTGTCTATGGGAATGTTTGACCATTCTTCAAGAAGTGCATTTGTGAGGTCAGGCACTGATGTCAGACGAGAAGGCCTGGCTTGCAGTCTCTGCACTAATTCACCCCAAAGGTGTTCTATCAGGTTGAGGTCAGGACTCTGTGCAGGCCAGTCAAGCTCCTCCACCCCAAACTCGCTCATCCATGTCTTTATGGACCTTGCTTTGTGCACTGGTGCGCAGTCATGTTGGAACAGGAAGGGGCCATCTCCAAACTGTTCCCACAAAGTTGGGAGCATGAAATTGTCAAAAGATGTCTTGGTATGCTGACGCCATAAGAGTTCCCTTCACTGGAACGAAGGGGCCAAGCCCAACCACTGAAAAACAACCCCACACCATAATCCCCCCTCCACCAAACTTTACACTTGGCACAATGCAGTCACACAAGTACCGTTCTCCTGGCAACTGCCAAATCCAGACACATTCATCAAATTGCCAGATAAAGAAGTGTTATTCGTCGCTCCAGACAACACGTCTCCACTGCTCTAGAGTCCAGTGGCGGTGTGCTTTACACCACTGCATCCGACGCTTTGCATTGTGCCTGGTGGTATAAGGCTTGGATGCAGCTGCTCAGCCATGGAAACCCATTCCATAGAGCTCTCTGTGCACTGTTGTTGTGCTAATCTGGAGGCCACGTGAAGTTTGGAGGTCTTTAGCTATTGACTCTGCAGACAGTTGATGACTTCTGTGCACTGTGCACTTCAGCATGCGCTGAACCCGCTCTGTCATTTTACATGGCCTACCACTTCGTGGCTGAGTTGCTGTTGTTCCCAGTTACTTCCATTTTGTTATAATACCACGAACAGTTGACTGTGGAATATTTAGTAGCAAGGAAATTTCATGGATGAACTTATTGCACAGGTGGCAACCTATCATGGTACCACATTTAAAGTCACTGAGCTCCGGAGAGCAGTCCATTCTTTCACAAATCATTGTAGAAGCAGTCTGCATGCCTAGGTGCTTGATTTTAGGCTAGATTCACACCTATGCAGTTTGTGTTTGATCCGTTTCTGCAGTGCATTTTGCGTTGCGTTTTTTTTTGCCTTGTTGCATCAAAAACATGGCAAAAATGCACTACATGCTTTTCTGTAGTGTTTCCACTGAAATCTATAGAATCAAAAACGCAACTTTTTGACCCTTTCCAAAAAGCACAACGGGTGAAACGCGGATATGTGAACGTGTCCCATAGGAAATCATGTTAAATGGACTGCAGTGCATTTCTGCAAAACGCTGCGGAAAACGCATAGGTGTGAACCTAGGGTTAATAATGATTCTGAAGGATTTTTTCAGGTGTTTTATGAGCATTTTTGCACATGTAACAAGCTTCAGGAGTTTGCTCAGTTGGGCAAGGGGTAGCTCTAGAGGAGAGGGATTCTTCAGAAGTAAACATTTGCACAAAAACACATGAAAATGCACATATTGTGCATTTACAGGTACTCCCATTGACGTTTATGTGGCCAAAAATGCCTGAATTACACTAAAAATAAAGGCTCGCCACACTGCTTGTACCAATATTATACTTGACAGTACCACTTTTGATCCTGTTATTGTAACATGCTCATGTTTCAAAAAAGAAATCCGTACTAGTAAAAATAAAGGCTCATGTACTTTTTGAGAGTAGTGCGAAACGCATATGGCGACTGAGCAAACGTGAGAACAGGAACAATTAGAACAGGATTCTGCATGAGGAGTGTAGTCAGTCGTAGAGAAACCAGCAGAAAAACACTCACATGTGAATGGCGGCTGAGAGATTCAGCCCATGTACAGCTAGCTTTTGCCATATCAGCAATCAGATCCAAACATTGAAGGCAGATATAAATAGTGTAGTTTAAAATTTTTATAGGAAGCCTACACACCCAACAAAAAATGTAATGATACCAACATCTAGCTCTGGTAGTACGGTGGTTCTCACAACAGTTTTCACCTACAGCAACTTTCATCGTCTTTCTTTAAAATCCACTAGAGGGCGCAGAAGCACTTTAACGCTCACCCTCCACATAAAAATTTATGGGGCATGCTCTTGGCAAGGGCGCTCAAACCCTGATCACTCCACCTTAAATGTAAAAAAAATGAAAAATCTACCTGGAGTAATGTCCTTCAAGATATTTACCTTTTAATGCTGTGTTATTATGAAAAGGGTAAAGGTCAGAACTGACCATTATTCATTCATTACTTTTATAACCATGTGACCTTCAGAATCTGATGTTCATTTTACAGTAAATTATAAGTAACTGATGAAATATAGCTATAGAACTACTATTGAAGTGATATTAAAGGCAGATTTAAAGAAAAAAAAAACGCTTACCTGCTCTGTGTGATGGTTTTGCACAAAACAGCCCCGATCTTCCTCTTCTTCTTGAATCCCCTGCTGGTGCTTCTGCCACCCCTCCTGCCAAGTGCCCCCACAGCAAGCAGATTTCTATGGGGGCACCCAAGCAGGATTGCTACTGTGCGTGCCCATTCACACATTAGCGTGGCTCAGCCCCGTCCCCACTCTCTCCTCATTGGCTCACTGGCTGTGATTGACAGTAGTGGGATAGAGATTGAGAGGTGGCTCAGGTAAGTATTGGGGGGCTGGGAGGGAATGTGAACATAGAAGCTTTTTTACCTTTATGCATAGAGTGCAGGAAGGTGAAAAACCTTGAGCCTTCACAACCACTTTAACCTAAATGTATACCCAGGGCTTTTTTTTTCCTAAGGGAATAGGTGCAGGAACTCCCACCTTCTGAAACACTTCTTGTCCCTGCTTCCTTACCCATCTCTGAGCACTGTCCCTTAGTTAAACCCTCTACCCACCTCCCAGTATAGAGCCTTATAGAGAATACAGAGCCAATTATTTTGTAGTGCTAGGTAATCTGTATGGAAGGTATTAGTGATAAAAAGAAATGCAGTAAAAAAAATCCCCTGCAGCCAGCAGCAATAGATCCCCCTCCAGCAACAATAGATTCCCGCAGCAACACTGGACCCTGGCAACAAAATATCATCCCTGCAACAACAAGAGATCCCCCAGCAGCCAGCATCAATAGACTCTACAGCAGCCAGCATCAATAGACCCCTCCCTCAAAAGTAGATCCCTTCCAGCAACAGACTTTCCAAACAAGAAGACCACCATGCAAAAAAAATATCCCTCCAGTAACAATAGATCCCCAGCATCAGCCAGCATTAATAAACCTTCCAGCACACCTCAGCACCTCTTGCCAATACATACAT